CGCCCGTCGTCCGTCGCATTTTGCTTTCTGTTGTGTCCCAATTCTGCCATTTACCAGTTCCAAACATGCCATTTTTCGTCGTGCGTCGCCCGTCGTGCGTCGTCCGTCGCCCGTCGTCTGTCGTGCGTCGTCCGTCGTCCGTCGTGCGTCGCCCATCAAATGGGTTGCATAGGACCTGCAAAAGCCGTTGTTTAACAAATGACAATGTGATGATTCCATTCACTTCTAAAGATCTTTTCCGAATAAGGCAAGTACAAATCCCACCTGCAAAGCATATACTAGTCACATAATTAATTCCAATAATGCTTAACTACCCCTGCCCCTTGACAAGAAAATATCGCCTCTCTGAGAATTCAACCAAGTGTTTTGGGGGAAAACATTTTCAGCAAAAATGTTCCGACCAACTTATCCACAGTGTTATTCTAATTTGCATACTGTAAAAATGTGCCGACTTGTTTTCATCAAATTCCAGGAAGAAATCTGCCAACCGATACAGATATTTTATCCTGTCCTCTCAATTTCACCTTGAAATCCAGAAATACTAGACGTGCTGTGGATAAAAAACTGTTTATTAGATGTATTGTTAAGGGGCAATTACCACTTGGTTTAAGTTTCAGAAAATATGACGTGTTGGTTTTTGTGGGTGTATATGCCATGGTGGATAGACCAATAAGAACAGGTTGTCCAGTACATCAGCATTATTTATGGGGCTTACAAGTAACGTTACTGTTTAAAAGACTTCTGTGAGCCAACTTGCAACTGAAGTCATGTCTAATTTGGAGTATACAGCAGATTTCATCATAGGTATACCCGCCCTCAAAATAATGCTGAATCAGTTTGTCTCTTATGAAAACTATTGGGAATCAAACATCGTAAATAATTTATTATTTACATTCCATTCTGTGGGATATCGTGCAGGGACAGACAGAAATATCACATAGGCTATAGACCTAAAGTCTGGCTGTTAACGAGTAAAGTTACGTCTAGAGTAACTAAGTTATCGAGAAAAACAATCTACCCTAATAAAACTCTATTTTGTTAATTTATTTATGTAACCAAAATGGTATTATTTCACATACACGTTACTCAGCCGATGTCAGGATATTATTTCTTCTTTCAATTGGAGTTTGGCGCAACTGGAAAAACGAATACATGTACATTTTCTGGTTCTATTGCAAAAATGAGAGTCGGGCATGGTGGATCGATCGAACAAGGACATGTACATGTGAAACGATCAAGGGTCAAAGTTAAAAATACCACTGCGCAATCGTGACAAAAAACCCACGGGCGACGCACGACGGGCGACGCACGACGGGCGACGCACGACGGGAGACGCACGACGGGCGACGCACGACGGGTGACGCACAACGGGCGACGGAAGATATGGAATTCCATACTGAACACGAAGAGAGTGCAATTTTTGTTCTGTGGNAGTGCGGCAATGTCCCTTGTCGTGTTGATCCTTTTGATTTCCTGTGTGATCCGCTTAATTCCGTGCCATCGTTCTATGGATAAACCCCTCTTCTAATGTTTCTCCATCAGTAAGAAGAATAGGGGCGATTCACAATAGTGCGCCACCAAGAGTTTGCAACGCGTTGGCCAATCATAACGAGCGAAATTAGTCGACCCTTTCCAAACGCGCATTGGGTGGACAAATTTCGTGCATTGTGATTGGCTAATGCGTTGCAAACTCTTGGTGGCGTACTATTGTGAAACGGCCGTATTGTGTTGTATAACCTGGCTTTGGGGATATATTCTTACTTTGTTTTGTTTTGCTTTTTATATTGAGTTCTGTTTTTGTACTTTTCTATACTTGAATCTCCATAAATTAAAAAGCGAGTCAGATTATGCAGGCATCTGGCTCTATAGGAATTAGCAAGCAATTGCAACTGGTTAGTGTTGGGTATTGGCCTTCACTAGCAGGTGTTCGTTGGGGGTAAATTGGGTTGGATATTTGGTTGTGTGGGTTGCGTTGAGCTGGAATCGGGAATGGTTAGGATGGGTTCATTGAAGTTAGGTTGGGGTCATTTCGGTGCGGTTCGCAGAGGCGTCACCCGATCCGACTACCAACCGCTACTTATAATTGGGGCTTTCACACCAAATACACCATGCTACAAGCAGGTTGGTATCATAGGATCGTAGCATGGACTACGTGCGGCACACTTGTCAGCTGGACCAGTTTAGCTTACGCACCGCAGCTGCAGCTCTCTGTTGTGTAGCAAGTGAGGGCGCTTTTCATCCTATATATGCTTACAGGTTGCAGGCCAATGCAAAAATAAACTGCCATAGCCAACAGTGATGAATACCCGAACTTCAAAAAATCAGGAAAAATAATCACGAGTTTCTTAGGCGTTCGAGATGCACATCAAATTAAAGTCCAGTTTATGGTTTTTCATATTCTTCTTCAAATTTCAATTCATTAACCGAGGACTTTTTGAAGATATTTATTTCCACGGAAGGTCACCCCTACAATGCAGTCGTGAAGCCCCTCACCATTTTGAAATATCGATACCTACACTTCAAATAAAAAATAGACCGTTTTCAGGCACCGATTTCTTCCAAATCTCACTCAGACGCAAGCTGGTATTCTTTCTGCCCGCCTAAACCTATCTTTTCTACAAATCTGCAAGTTCATGGGCCACAAAATACTCTATTTCGGGGTGCATACAAATTGTGACTTGGCCCTGGCGAGCAGTTTTCGGCCTGCATCCTACAAGTGTGCCGAACGTAGTCCATGCTACGATCCTATGGTACCAACCTGCTTATAGCATGGTGTATTTGGTGTGCAAGCTCTCCTTCTAAGTAGCGGTGGGTAGTCGGATTGGTTTGCCGCCGTAGCCAGGACTCTTGAGCATATGGAGGCAAGCGGGGGGGCTTTACGCTAAAATGTGTGTGTGTGTGGGCTCACTGGATGTTGGACAAATACGTAATCGTGATCATATCAAGTGGGGGCGACTGGGAGCAACGATTTTTCCTGGGGGCGCCCCCCCCCCAACCGCTGGCGGTTCGGTACGTAGGATGGGTTTCCCCCTTATAAGACTAAATGGATTAAGATGGCAGCATGACAACTGTTGGAATCGAATTTAGTTAAGGATTTCAAACCTTAAGAATAAAGAATCTCAGAAAGTCAGTAAGACACCAAATAATAGAATACAGGCCTACTACCTTTCAATAAAAAATGGGCCAAAAATCCATTTTGACGTAAAACCTGATACGAATTAAAAGTGACATTTCTGCAAACTCTGGTCGTCCATTTGAATAGTCGACAATAATTCTGACCAGAGAGGTCGCACCACTATTGGCCGTTTTTTTTACCACTGGTGCATTGTTACTTCAGGCGGTGCTAACGGACATAGCTGTATTCGTACGTCCGAAAGCATGCACACGATGAAATATAGGTCGAGTTCGGGCGCCGTGTTCTTGACACGGGTTTCTTGTTCTCGCGCTCGAACGGCAGGAACACGACTCAAGAACACTGTCTCGGAACAGGATCACCCACCACCTCCTCGTCATGGTGTTACAGGAACACACGGAAAAACTCGTGAGATTTTGATTTTTGAACAGTGGTAGGCCCACAGTGCCGACCTGCCATAACTTTTCAGTTGTGACACTGACAGTTACAAAACAATAATGTTAATTAATTAAGCTTTAATCCCATTTTCAAAAGTCAAAACGTCCACATCAGCAACAGCTGTGCTCTTGGTTGTCACCGTAAATCTCGGCTCTTAAAAGCAACCCAATAGTTGCTTGTCTGTATACCTGCTATTATCTACGTGCTTGTAGCATCGCGCCATATCTTTCTATCCAAATGTAGAACTTCCTTTTCCAGATACTTCACCTTTCAGGGTTCAGCGCTTAGTAAAAGATCGGGAATCAGCAAGAATACAATATACAAAAGAATATTGAACCTCATATAATGTACAACACAGGACTGAAATTTCGAAAGCCTTTCCTTGCTGTGTCCTCTTTTCTCTTTTCAGTTTTGTTCATGGGGTTTTCGCAACAAGCGCGATCTTTAGTTAAATTCCATTATTTTAATTTTCTATTTCAAATTCAGTTTTCATATGAATCAATTTAATTTTGAACACACGCGTGTAAAAATATGGACTAAATTCCTATCAACACGAAAAAGAAATAGATTCTTACGTCTCATCCCATTTCTGTTCCTCGGAACCGAGTTGTTAAATTCTCCAGCTGCTTCTTAACAGTAATATAATACCATTCAAACTGTGCCAAAATGCATAGACATGCACAAACATGAATACCGACTATCACTTTGGTTTGTTCACTTGACTCTTGTTTATGTTTGCGCTTTGCATATTTACAAATGTACTACAACTTGCTTCATCAGTCCGTTCCAAAGAAGCAAGTTCCTAGCTAGACAAGCATTGGTGTAAATGGCAGGCTGTCGCCTTGTGCGGAAAATACGCCATAGGCCTGTTTGGGGAGATTAGAACAGTTTTGCTCATTCTGTTTGAAAGAATGCACCGGTTTACCACGAATTAAAATATGAGTTGAACGTTCAAGGTCCTTTTGTGGGCTTTTTTTATTCTTACATAGAGACTCAAAGAAGATTGGACCGACGTGCTTAAAATCCGATCCATTTAATTCTATTATCTGAATCAGATTTAATCGGTTGCTGTGTGGAGTTTTAATTTATCTGTTCAAGTTATCATGAGTTGGCTTAATTACGAAACTGTGAGAAAATCCCTTCCAGCATTACCCAAAACAAGGAGACCATATGCTTCATATGTGAGGTTTATTACATTTTATTCTTTACTTCCATCTGGCTGTTACCCGTTTTGTTTTGCTTTTTTTGTATTTCCGTTTTCGAATTTCCCAAAGCAAACTCAAGATGTTAAAATGGTAATTGGTTTTCACGTATGCTGGTAGGAATCCTATTACAACTAGGCCTGGAGTGCCGCTTTCCAATTAAAACTATGAATGCATAACGAGGTCGCGTCTCCGAGATAAAGCTGCAAAGATAACTATTAAATTCATCTGTGGAGCACAAAAAGTGGAATGTGTGTACACTTCTGGTTAACGTGTAAACCGCGGATGGAGCAGATGCCTATGGTGGATAAACTCCCACAGGCTTGACACGCTGCCCGTCACCACACCGTGTGCACGCTGGTTTTTCCACGGAGCTGTAATCGCTATTACCGGTCAGACAAACTATTTGGCGTGTGGAACTGGTGGAGATTTCGAAACTGAATTCGCATGATATATAATTTTTTTCAGAGGATTGTTGACAAAACTACGAAATAACAATTGATGAGAGTTGCAGAGTCGATTTTGGAGCAAACTGGTAGTCTGTAAGGACGCTGGGTGCGAAGTGTGCCCCGCATTCCTCATTTCATGTCAGGAACTTCGCCAACCTCCACTCGCTATCAGTACTAAATCTTGTCTCTGAGCACAGAAGGATGAATGTCTTCCATCATGGCTCATTTCAAGTCTGCTTCCTTCTCCTTTGCGCTTTTCTGAGCAACGCTGTTGCCTTTGAGAATCCATGGTCTGACACGGACGACCTGGGGTCGTACTTCACCAACGAGTTTGCCGTGCAAATCGAAGGGGGGATAGATGTTGCACGGAGCGTGGCCTCAGACCATGGGTACCAACTTCAGATGCAGGTAACACTTGAGCCCTTAGGCCTAGAATATGGAACTTCAAATTTAAATGTGCTTGAATCATATTGTTTTACGGTACCTAATCGGTACTTTTATGTTGACATCATGTAATAGGCATCGGAAATTGCCTGTAATTTTCAAAAGAAAATCACCCATCGTATATTTTGTAATTTTTACACCAGATTTTCTAAACCAAACGTTGTAATGAATCTGTGAAATCAACCCGGAGTTTTTCTGTGTTCTTAATGTAAAATATGAAATGGACAAATGCATAAAATAGTTCTTTCTTAACAGCAAATCAAACAAATTGAAAATGACATCATGTTAGAAACATAGTCACATGTATGTCTACTGCTGACACGAACAACGAAATCCTCGTCCATTAAATAATGCGCAAAAGAGATTGGACTCTGGATAATATTAAAAAAAATTCACCACGACTAAAATTATGTTTGAACTGAGAAATACGACACCAACCTAATTTTGGTCCAATTAATACTCATGAAAACGTTCCATTCCGCAGCACGTACATTTTCCCAAGGATATTGCATTGAAGAATTCATTTTGTGATATCTACACTGTAATAGATTTAGAGATAAATCATTAATAGCACCGAGAGACGAACACTTCCTTATATGCCACAGTCGATGAATTATCGACGTTTCGCGATCCTCTTTCTTATAGACGCGTGAAATTTGCAGAATAGTTGGGAGTAGATTTCGATGTTTTACCAGAGGGCATGCATAAAATCTTACAGAGGTTCACAAAGCCCATTAAACTGTCTGCTCATTGGAATTTCTATGGAATAATTATCCGTCGACATGGTAGAATTTTCACCAAACTGGTTCTCACGTGTTGAAATCATTCCTCTATTAAATAGAAGCTTTGGAACCACCATCGACAAAGTACTTATTTTCTAGAAGAAATACAAGTTTACATTGATTAAGAAATGTTGGAGAGTACCTCGCTCATAATCGATCATGATAAGCATCTTTTGCAAAAGAAACCTGAGTTGATGGTCCTTACGTTTGAATAAGGTTTTGTTTCAAAATGCCATGGGTATAAATCTTGGGGGATAGGAGTAAACAAACCCCCCAACTTTTTTCGACCAGGGGGATGGATGCATGGGCTACTGAATCACCCTCTCCACTATTTCGTGGCGAAAAAAAAAACATGTAGGTGGATTTCGAAGAGCTTTTCAGGCTTCCCAACCGTCAAATCAGTGGCACCCAAAAGAGGAAGGGACAATGAAAAAAGCCATAAATATGCCGTTCTCCTGTAACATTCTGTAGGAATGTAATACAAATTACAGATGTCCATCTGTGTCATGAACATGGCGCCCTATAGAGTATCATATAGCGTCAGCACCCTACCCTTTTCAAATTTCCGTGGCTAGGCAAGTCACTCCCCCTTTCCCATCCTCCCCATTTTCCGCTACAGGTTTACACACTGCAAAAATGCCACATTATTTTCTGATTAGTATTTGCTGTGTGAGTTCAGCAAATATTATGGACTAATTGCTTCAATATTGTTTCCTAATTTACGCGTCTGAAGTCATTACCAAGTTCATACCAGCAGCTTTGTACAGAAGTGTTAGACCAAATCAATGAAAATATCTATTTCTAATTAGCGTTTTCTAATATAAACCTAATTTAAAATTATACCATTACCTTTTAAGAAATCGATTTTAAACTTCCACATAACAAAAAACTCATTAATGTGAATTGTTGACTAGATCTGGTTCTTGTGATAGTTTATTGTTTGATTTTGCTGTACAAAAAAGTAACAATCAACTTGTCGACTGTAATTTTTTTTTCAAATGGAATGTTTTGCAAAGGGGTACATCTTTCCATATTAGGGTGGAAATTTACTTTTGAAAATTCATAAAAACGATTTAGCTTAGCAATAATGAAAAGGGATTTTTCTGAAAAGCTAGATGCTAAAAGAATCCACAGAGGGCATCTTAGTCATCCGGATACAGTAGTTGTTTATTTCTAGGAAAGCCAAATGCATCAAAGCACTTAAGGATAAACTAGAATCTTACCATCTCTTGAGACAATTTTATACAGTAATGGAAACAGATAATGCTTTGGCTCTCGTCAGGTAAAGTACAGACAAAAATTTTCAGCTTTTAGAGAATCTTGGAGCCAATCACCTTGGAGACTATATAGAGAGGGGAAAAACTGATGAGTATGAATTTCTGTCCTTTTCCGACAAGATCGGAAGCCTGCCAGACCATTATCTTCTCCAACATGACGAAACCCCGTCCAGATCGAAGCGGGAAACCGACGAACGTCACACCAAGAAACTTGCAGATGACCATCGGGTAAAAAAAAGGAAAACTTTTCAATCAAAAAATCATCTCTGCACTTTTCTGATTACCTGTGGTTCAATTTTAAAGGTTATATTTTCTAATTTTAATTGACAGGGTGTCGTAAATTATTTGTTTGAAGCTCAGTTTATCTGCGTTACTATTGGAAATTTTGGTGGTTATATCGGACAATCGAAAACGGGCGCAGGGAGTACCTTAGACTCTTTGTCACAGTAACATAATCACGCTGAAATACAAAATGTTTTCAAGTATTTTTTACTATATTTCAGCGCCACACCAACGCTCTCGAATAATAGGCCTATATTAGAAAAGAGACACAGTTATTAACGTGTTTGACTCAAAACTTATGCGCGGATTAGGAGAGGGATTTCGGTCGATCCCTCCTGCTCTGAGCAAAAACAAAAAAAGGAAAAAAGAAAAATGGAGAAAATGGTAACAAAAAACAAATAAAATAAGTGACCAATACCATTGTTAACGATGCATGCCATGTATAATGTTTCATCATTGTTTCCGCTTGTCCGCAAAAATGAAACAATAAAAAAAATCGCCGCTCTTGGAAAATTCCTGGATCTGCCCCTGAAACCATTTTAGTGTTTTGAGGTTTATTCTCACTCAAAAGGTGTTGTGGTTCCAACAACAAGAAGCCAAACGTCGAACTAAACGCAATGTGGATAAACGATTCTTGAGATCAACCGACTTCAACGACCCGCTCTATGAGGAGGAGTGGTATCTGGTAAGAAAGTCACGAGACCTTTCATGAAATTACAATCGCATAATTTGACTGGAGAAATCTCAACGAATTACGTTTTGACAGGAAACGCTTTTCATAAGGTATTTTACTTCATTGTCTGTTTTTAATGCTTGTTGTCAAGAAGTTGTGGTGTTTATTACGTGACATTTAGTTCACCAGTAAAAATTGTTCAAGATTGCTCACAAAAGACAAAGCAAGGATTTTCCTTTTTATATAATGACTTTTAGAATGGCGATTATAAGGAACAGAGGGGTATGCAACCGGACATGAACGTGAGACAGCTGTGGGAGAAAGGAATTACTGGAAAAGGTGTGGTCGTGTCCATTGTCGACGACGGTGAGCCTTATTATGGATCCAACTACAGGAATACGTAAATTAACAAAATTGATAACAAAACTGTAGCTGTTAGCTAATGAAATGTCTGAAATGGGGCTGGTATAGGTGGTGATCGCGCATGGAATGTGGCGCAAGGAAAGATCTATTTATGGATACCTGCGTCAGCTCAGAGAAATAAGATGTGATTCAATTTTCGGTTCGTAACGAAATAAATCGATCAGGTTTGAATCGGACGGCTCGACATGTCACATTTCTTGCTATTTTTTTTTGGGGGGGGTGGTTTGGTTTAGTTTGGCTTAGTTAGGTTCTGTGTGGTTTGGTTTGGCTTGGATAGGTTTGGTTTAGTTAGGTTTGGTTTGGCTTGGTTGGATTTGGTTTGGCTTGGTAGACCCGTAGGCTGGGGGGGGTCAGGGGGTTCGAACACCCCCCCCCGTTCCGCTCGTTGATGTGTGTTTTTATTTGTTTTTTTTTCTGATAACTATATAATTTTAATAGACTATAATTTTCAGAATGTAAGTCGCGGTTTATACATTGATTCTCACGTAGAAAATATCTCTGCGGTTTATAATGAACTGTGGGCGGGTTACACGGCAACATTTGAAGAATGAAATCAGTCACTAAACGCTGCGCCATGCCTGCAACGCAACCCAGGCCGCCGCTGCGCGCCGCGGCCGGCCAGCCACGCGTACCAGCGGCGCAGCGTTCCGGGTGCGGGGACAAGGCAGTCATATTTTCATTGGCTGCCGCTTACATTGGCTCTACTTACGTGTTGGAAATGAAGTAAACCAGTCCAGAAAGACTGAATAGTCTTGTAAATGCCCTGTAGGCCTAAGTACAGTTCACACCTCACCGTTTTGTGGTATGTCTTTACGTTTTTGTCTTTTACGGTTGTGTAATCCATGTTGTTTATCATTTTACTGGTCTTAAAAAGAACAGCTGCATGGCCAACCCAGCATGGACACTAATCCAGCCCACTAAAATTGGTATTTTCGAGCACTCGAGAAAGTTTAGACGTAATAAAATCACTCGTTCGTGTGCTACCTCACGTTGCAATATTGAAGAAGTTAGGTTTGGTTTGGCTTGGTTAGGTTTGGCTTGGTTAGGTTTGGTTTGGCTTGGTTAGGTTTGGTTTAGTTAGGTTTGGTTTGGCTTAGTTAGGTTTGGTTTAGTTAGGTTTGGTTTTGGCTTGGTTAGGTTTGGTTTGGCTTGATTTGGTTTAGTTTGGCTATGTTAAGTTTGGTTTAGTTAGGTTTGGTTTGGCTTGGTTAGGTTTGGCTTGGTTAGGTTTGGTCTGGCTTAGTTAGGTTTGGCTTGGTTAGGTTTGGTTTGGCCNTTTGGTTTGGTTGGTTTGGTTTGGTTTGGTTTGATTTGGTTAGGTTTGGCTTGGTTAGGTTTGGTTTAGTTAGGTTTGGTTTGGTTAGGTTTGGCTTGGTTAGGTTTGGTTTGGTTTGGTTAGGTTTGATTTGTTAGGTTTGGTTTGGCTTGGTTAGGTTTGGTTTGGTTTTGCTTGGTTAGGTTTGGTTTAGTTAGGTTTGGTTTGGCTTTGTTAGGTTTAGTTTAGTTAGGTTTGGTTTGGCTTGGTTAGGTTGGGTTTGGCTTGGTTTTTGAAAAGGGGTGACGTGGAGGTTACTCCCTACCCAAGGACGATTGCATCATTTACTGCGAATGTTGACTTTACACAATGAGCAGAATTTTTATACTTCAATTAAACTACGAGGGTTGCTCCATTTCCATAGATCAATATTTACTTTTGTCTCATACAGCTGTTTTAATTTACACCACAGTACAATGTTTGGACAATTTAAAGCACCGAGGAAATGGTTTCGTTTTCAAATGACCGTGTGCCATTAAGTCAGAGCAGGTGAATTTTGTATTCATGGCGAAGTCCAATAGGTCATTCTAAGTGCTGAAATTATGTGGCAAGGCGGCAAGGTCGATAATTTGATGGTGGTGTTGTTAGTGGAAATAATGGTGGTTATGTCCCTTTGTGTTTTCTTTGCAATGAAGAATTGAATATGTAAGGCCCCAATTGCCGTGGTCGTTAAAAAGGGGGATGAAACTTTATACAGTAGATGTACTCTGTTTTCAAGATGTATTTTTGCGTTGGGGAGATGTTAATTATATATAACAGGATTTGCCCTTACCCAGTCCCACCCGAGTAAGCTTGTAAGGTTTTTTTCGCAAGCTCTCGGACAGGCACTGAGCATACAGTGCTTATTAATATACGTTGGGTAAGGGCAAAACCTGTTATATATAATTAGATGTACTCTGATTTCTACCCATTTTGTCTTTAAAATTATGATCTGTTTGCAACTTATGTTTGACTACTTTCAAGGGCCAAATTGTGGTTTTTGCCTTGAGCAGAAACACCCCCATCAGTTGAAAATAGCCATGGTGGTGGGGTATTTTGTTGGTAGCGATGCCGCCACGACATCGCATCCCTATCAAACGGTTGCTAGGAAAATCACGCCCTCTCTCGGTCATGCTTTGGACCCATCGTACGCTGATACATGTATTTTATTCTAGGACTGGAAGTAGCCCATTCGGACATCGCCAAGAACTATGATCCTCTAGCAAGCTGGAACTTTAAGGAGAAACGAAACGACCCAACACCTCCCAAGAGCACCTACAATCATAATGGGTAATAGTATCCCTTGCTCACACACCCTTCAGTATACACAGTGTGGAATGGGTTGACCAGTTGACAGTCCCTGTCCACGCCCTCACACGTTCGAGCAGAAAATAATATCGCCAACTTCCCTTCACATTAAGTTCGTTAATTAATAACAACTGTCAGCCAAGTGAGGAAAGGGTTTTTAAATTGTCAAATTGTCAAGTGGGAAAGATTAATTGAATGCTCAGATTTCAAAATCCGAATCTGGGAATTAATTCTTCGTCACATTGTCGTGGAATCGTTAAAATAGCAAAGGGCCTATATTTCTGTTCTAGCCACGGCACACGCTGTGCCGGTGAAGTGGCCATGGTTGCTGACAACGGAAAGTGTGGTGTTGGCATCGCCTACGAGGCTAATATTGGAGGTAAGTGCCTCCAACAACTCTGGTGCATCAGTACTTGACTTCCAGTCACAATGGATACATGACATGAGACAATATTGGTGCATATAATTTTTTTTTGGCAATTGCGGTATCTGTTTCGCCAGGCATACGCATATTGGAAGGGAAAATAACTGACGCTGTGGAAAGCGCGTCGTTGTCTTATAACCTGGACCACATCGACATCTTTAGCTCCAGTTGGGGACCGACCGACGACGGCATGACGACAGATGGCCCTGGACCACTCACCAAAAAAGCACTAGAAGAGGGCATCAAACGGGTGAGTGACGTCAGTATTACGGTATATTGACACTGTCCCACACATCAGTGCAAAGTGTGCTCTTTCAATCCAACCGATCCGACTACCCACCGCTACTTATAAGTGAGGCTTGTTCTAGCCTTCTGCTTGCAAATTTTCGTGACACTGACTAGCCTCACTTGTAACTTTGCCTACTGCATCATAAAAAATATATTAGCATCACATTTCTTGCAAGCTATTTTGCTGCACAGGCCTCACTTATGAAAAGGCGTGGGTACTTAGACCGTGTGTTCAATCCATGACTCTGTCCAATTTCTGCAGTAAAGACGTTAAGATCGTCTGCATGATCGTGCCGCATATAGATCCAGCCGAAAGTCAAAATGCAAAATTTAAAAACAAACACCACAAAGGAGGTTGGTGTAAATAGAGGGTACATGGTTCCAACATCGTGAATTTGTCAACTTGAATCGTCTATGAAGTGAAACGATGAAATTGGAGCAGAGATCGAAATAGGAGGGATTAATAAACGTTCATATCTGTGAACTGAATCAAACTGATGTTGAAATTAGGGAATGGTAAGCTTGAAGAACTCTGTGCAGGAGCTTGCCACATCGCCACGGTGTCTTTATCATTTGGCAGTATTGCTTAATTAAGACGCTGTGGCGGTGTCATAAGCTTCTGCGTCGAACTCTCTTCAATCCCAAGTCCCCAAAAAGATAACTCACCGATCGACTTCGATGACGGGACCCTTAACGACTTTCTGTGCTCCGATTAATGTTGCTTGAGGAAGGGCCCAAGAAGAACAAGAGCTTCGATAAACACTTGTGTCAAGATGTGATAAAATTTCAGTCTTCTTCATCGATCGGTGGAGCGGAACACGTTCCAGTTTTGATAGAGAATGACAATTTGGGCAGATAGGCTCCTGCTGCTCTGTGTAAGATTGTTGTAGACTTACGAGGACTTGCTAAAAATCTGATGGAAAAAAAATGAATAAAACAGGGCAGGAACAGCAAGGGCGTCCTCTACGCCTGGGCGTCGGGCAACGGTGGGTCCGAAGACAACTGCAACTGTGACGCGTACTCGAGCAGCATTTACACCATCGCTACGTCCAGCGTGTCCGAGACCGGCCAGAAGACATTGTGAGTCCGTCGGGTGGCGGGGCATGCAATGATTTGTAAAACCGGGTACGAGGTGGCCCTGGTGCTAGTATCATCTACATGCGGTGTTGGTGTTGCTTGGATCGGTGGCCGGGTCCTCTGACCGGGGTTATTCTTTCTCGATGAGATTTCTCTCGGGATCCTCGTAGTTCTAGCCTTTCTTGTTTTCTTTCCGTCTGTCTTCCTTCTTTCTTCGGTAATAGATCATTATTTTGCATGAAATTATGAGTGAAGTTATTCTCTGCTCGCTTTTGGTGTTTAACGAGGCAGGGCCGTTACGTCACTCTGCTTAGAAAATGTTCAAAATCAACCGTCGTGTGATTCGCTTCATTTTTGGCACGCGCTGTTACAATACCGAACCCGCACACCGTAGCCTATCCACAGTGGTCGACCTAAAGCAGACATGCTCCATCTTTCCAATCCCATTTTGATATTTTTTACTCCATTTTCATCATTTCTCTTTCACTTTAATTGTGTCATTGCTTATGCCAAGTGTGCCTCAAACCATTTCCATCAAACACTTGTCTTCACATTTTTATTTCAGTTGAAGTTTTCAAGGCTCGTCATTCGTGTGAAGCGAAGATAAATCTCCTCACTTTCCAGACATTGCTTCACGATTATCGTCATTACGACCCTTGATGTCATGGTAAAAAGCGTCGTTATCATTGCTCCCTCTTCCATTAACCACACCATTCCATCTTCTCTCTTTCCTCCGTCATCTAAACTGTAGTGACAGCAGAACCAAATGCCATTGTATTTCTGTATATTTCCCATTTTTTTCCCTTAGTTACGGCGAGACCTGCTCATCCATCCTAACGACTTCGTACAGCAGTGGATCTGGGAAGGCACGTGGCGTCGTCAGTGCCTCATTGCACAATCAGTGTACCAATGATCACGGCGGTACCTCAGCATCAGCACCCATGACGGCAGGGGTGCTTGCCTTACTGCTGCAAGCAAAGTAAGCTGTCTAGGAAAAAATGAAAAATGAAGGGGCTCAGATGCAAAACACCTTTTGAGAAAATCAGCTTAGAAAAACTAAGCGACTTTTGTGCTCAAATTGGGATTTTTACCTCATCTCGAGGCCCCTTTGAAATTTCAATTCAAAACGACTCGAAATCGTTCAGTAGAAAAAGTAATAAGACTTTTTCCACCGAGATTTTCTGAGATTTTTCCGCTCTGTGAATGTGCCTTCGTCGCTTTCACCTTTAAACACTTCCCGAATTATACTGGAATAAAAGGAAAATTAAGTACCCATAGTCCTTGGTTATTGGCTATTTGGATAGATCAGTATGATCTTGCCAAGCTACCTGACGCATTGCACTTCGGTCAAAGTCTCATGACTACAGCCAGCCGCCAAGAACACTTGTAGTCGATTTATAAATAGAACACCGAACACCTACATTTCGCAAATCGCAGAAAGTCTTTACAGGCGTCTCTAATAGCGACATGTGGTTTGGAGGATAGGGTGTATGAACAGGACATGTGGTGAGAAACTGAATTATGAAACATTGTGGAATCACGTGAAGGGATTATCATTTGTAATTGTTTTGTCGCCAATATGGGCACGGTTGAGGCGAAGCACGGCCCGACAGGTGACTGGCGATAATGCTCGTTATATTAATATTTGAATGTTTGCAGTACAAATATTTTGTTATAATTTTGTTGTTTCGTGACGCAGATTTATGGATAACCCCAAACTGGAACTTGTGTGGAGTGAAGAAACAGATGTCATATCTAAGTGCTAACTGACTTCGATTATGGTCACTGTGTTCAATTGAATTTAGTTGAATAACTCGCTGAATTTTGGGATGCAATACAAATTGATTAAAAAGTCCTTTGTGTAGTTCTTATTCCTCCCGGTTCTGATGCATTGTGTACTGAAGTCGAAAATTACGGAAGAAATATCGAATATGTTTCCATCCTGTTCGATTTTCTCTTCAAGCATTAATCTACACGTTGATCATCTACAGTGTGAGACTTAAGTATTGTCTTCGACTTGAATGAGAACGCACGTGAAAACAAACTATTTCGTATTGTCGTCCGTTTATCGTGAAATTGTTTATTACCCCTTTTTGCAGCCCCGATGTAACTTGGCGCGATGCCCAACACATCATTGTCCAGACTTCCAACACTAGACTCTTACGAGAAGCCGAGGGAGTGGAATGGCGCCGTAACGCGGCCGGTCACGTGTTCAGCGACTACTTCGGATTCGGGCTGTTGGATGCCGAGGCTATGGTCGATCTCGCCAACCCCGAGAGTTGGATGTCAGTTCCCGAAAAGAGTGTCTGTACGATCAAAGCCGGACCCTCGTTCACGGAAAGGTGACTGGTATAACCCATGCTACTGACTGGCTCACTTAGTTTAGAAATTGAAACCTAAATAGCAAAGAGAAGATCGGCCGTTGCATTCAAGAGAATCAATAAACAACATTACAGTATTTAAAAATAGATAAAGACACAAACATATTATGAATTGTACACGGCTACACTTTATTCAACAGTTTTTGAGAGAGGTAACGATTTCATGACTTATTAACAGAAAACTCACGCGCAACCAACCAATCAAGCTAGATATAGTGACGGACGGATGTGAGGGAACCAGCGATGAAGTCACTTACCTAGAGCACGTGATTTTTTCAGTGTCCATCGACTACAGTCGCCGCGGGGCTCTCAATGTACACCTTACCTCTCCATCCGGTATGTAAAGATCAAATCACAATACTTAACCATAAAAAATGTGACTGAACCCCCCAAATGTGGCTGCAGCTAAGTAAGAAATCATGCGCTGGCCTCTAGTAGACAGTTGCAACCACTCCCCATGGACGCCGGGGACGGTGTCCGTTGCCCCCTGTCGCATGCAACAAGTAATAATTCGCACAAGACGAATAGCGTAAAACTGTGTATAATAATTCAGATTTGACTTTTGAAATACTTTGTTATTGAAAAAAAAATCATAACCTTTGTAAATATAAACAGTCTTAGCTCCAGATAAAAAGAATTGCCTATAATAGGATTTGCCTTTAGGGATCTGCCCCCCCCCCACGTGAATCATCTTTCAATCTTGAATGAAGGAACCAAGACGAAGCTATTGACTGAGCGCCGTGAGGACTCCTCAGATGAGAGTATGGACAACTTCCCTCTGATGTCTGTGCAACTTTGGGGAGAGCAAGCGGCAATTGGAGACGGAGTCTGGAAACTCGACATCTTTGACTCGGTATTCAAAACCCAACAGCATGACAGCATGAAACCATTTTTGACTCAGATTAAATTGTCTTTTTGACCATTTTCGGATTATATACGATTTTTGATTTCCTTTTTCTTTGTCACAGACTTTGGAAGACATTAGCGTCGGACACAACGGTTACCTACGAGACTGGAGGCTTGAACTTCACGGGACTAAGGAACTACCGAAGTACGTGAATTCAGCCAGGGGACCGTAGCTGTGAAAGTAACTCGCTGGTGCACGGAATGGACCTTCTCCAGAAACTGAGATTGAGATACTAACTGAGAACAGAGACCCAAATCATTTACTTTCTTACAATAGAAAGTAGGTTTGCGGTAGCACCATGGACGTATCTCTTTTGTGAGTATTTGCGGTTCTGAAAAGAACCAGTTCTTTTCAGAACCGCAAATACTCACAAAAGAACCAGTTCTTTTCAGAACCGCAAATACTCACAAAAGAGATACGTCCATGGTGCTACCGCAAACCTACTTTCTATTGTACCTATTCACCATGCAAACCTTCAAGACTTATTTACTTTCATCTCCTTTTTTGCCCATCACTCGAGAACACGAGCCTTACATGGGATGTGTTAAGATCAACCCAAGCGTTTTGTTTCATCATTTATTTGTTAAAATATTCATTTGTGTTTTTTTCTGAATTTGGAATGTTATGTCATGATTTTTCCCGCCCAAAGCAGTGATAACAAATCAGCCACATCCTGTTGTGCAGCCACTCACTTGCCAGTCCAAACTATTTTTCTGTATGAGTTGTAGTAGCCTACATCATGCCTACATAGGCTACGAGATAATGATTTCCTCCAAATGATGCCTCTATTCGAGTTTAAAATGTACAGCATCGAGAAGTCAATATTATATCTTTCCTACAACAGGGAAACTGCTATACGAAGGCATTATAATGAGAACAATAGGCGTTGGTCGATGGCAGGGGAAGATGTTTTAAATGCAAGAAGTTTCAAACGAGTATATTCATAATATTTATTTTTCTATATTGCCAAGTATTTTGGAATATAATAAGTATATTATGCTCACTTTTGACCGAATCTGTCGAAAAACAAGTCGACACGTGTTTCCTCTGGGTCTAAATTTGGAGAAGTTGAACTTTCCTTGCAGTGATACGATGCACATATGATTAAAATTGGACTTATATACAGTGTCTGTCAGTACGGAGGCCTATGAGGGCCATATGTAAAAAACTTTTGTGATCCTATCTCGTCGGGGGTAGTTACTACTATCTCGCCGCGACGACTTATCACTCGCCGCTGCAAGATACTCTTTCAACGGTTTAACTCGCTGGAGAGAGGTAATAACTCGAAAAAAAATGCAAGTGGCTTTTATATGCTTCCGTACTGTCAGTGAGTGTCGTAAATTTGTGCCGGAAATGGGGATGACTCCCCAGACATAGAATTTTGAAAACCGGGGGCCGTGGGTGCTGATACCGTACGACACTATGACGGGGGAAATGTTCATGATCATACAGATGTTCATCTGTATTATGTACCGATGTGGCGGTCTCAGCTGTCTCCTGGTCTTAGCGGCCGGTCCCCTTACCAAATATGGTAAAAATACGTCATGCCATCTCTCCACACAACAACGGGAAAGTCGTTTTAAGCGGCGTGCTGAGCAGTGCAGCCCATGCATACTTCACGTTGTACGTGACGTGTGCTGTACATAGTCTTACACCAAAGATAATAACACCGTTTATAGTACCTTGCAAGTTAGTCATGCGGACATCTCAGCACGGAAGACCAACGAGACCGTGCTTGTGTCGTGCTTAAATGTCCGGCTACGTCAGGGGGACCAGTGAGACCGGGAGACAGCTGAGACCGCCACACCCGGCGGTATAGACCTTTTCACCGACGTGACTAAATGTAAAACCCACCACCACTAGTGGACCGCCTTGGCCACGATGATCGCATATGTTCCTATGGGCAGCTTCAACCACGTGCAAGCGCACGTGCCAACGCTGCATGTTTGACTTGTTTATCTTTAATAGGTAGATTACCATCACAACACTATGCACTCATTACCATCACTAAACATCATACCTCCAGCACGATCGTGACATCACTGGAAAAGGGTCTATTACATTCCCGAGGAATCTTACATTATGGCTTTTTAAAATTTGTTCTCCCTTTTTAGTGCTTGTGAATACATTTTGAATGTTGGGAAATTGGATCAATTTTTCACAATTGGCCTTACTTTTTTCTCACCACGAAACGGTGTGGGAATGACTCAATAGCTGACACTCTCGGTCAAAAAGTGGGGGATGTAAGTATACGTATACCCATCCCTCGGGATTTACGCTTATGCTGCTAGCTTAGTTGAATGCAGAATTGAAGCAAATGAAAGGCTATTTCAGTGCTCATTCCAGAAACTTACATTCAGGAATACGGGTCCAGTGCAATCACAGTGCAATAAAAGTCACAGAATTGGAATCGATATGTGTATGAAAAATGTGTATCCTTTGCTACAACTTGTTCAGTCTTCTCGCCCAAGCTACGTACGAAGTTTACAGAAGATAGATCATCGGTGAAATGAGATTTATTCCATGTATCCGACTTCGTGCTTTCGTCGTGTCCAGAGAATACAAAAGTGATTTATTATTTTCCGGCCAAAACCATTTGTTAAATTGATATACACGGAGGGTATATGTGCCGGTCGGTAGTTTGGTTTCCTGCCCACAGATTCAACACCATTCCCGGAGTGAGACGAAAATAACGATAAATGGGATCAATATGTGTGTTTTTGTGAGTTACAGTGCTCTGAAAATGACGGTGGTGTTATTTTGAAATTGGACTCAACATTTTAATAGGGCGAGTGAGCCCTCTTGGACGAAATTAAGCTTTCGTTTGAGCAATTTTAAATGAAAAAAGAGCTACATTAACCGGAAAACCTACATTCCAAGTAACACGGGCGAACCTATAAATGTTCGTTTTAGCCTCATCCAACGCAACGCAAGCACGGACACGGAATACCCTCCAGTTGCCATGGCGTTAAGTAGTCACGCCCCCCAACTTTATACGTCACTATAGCCCTCTCCTTCCAATGCATCCTCCCACTCAATGAACACCTCGCAATTCAAAAGCTAGAGGGTGCAGTTCCATTCAATAATTCCTGCTGACTTCATTTCCACAAAATGTGCCATCATACAGTTCCTTTATTTAAAGGAGATTGTTTTGCCGGCAAATGGAGGAATTGTGGAAATACAGGCCAGGGACAACTCTTTGGGTTAAGGGGGCTCCCATCCCCGGGGAGGGCACTGAGTGAGGAACAAAAATGGTCCTGAGTGCCGAGAGAGTAGAAGAAAGTTGGGAGCCGCCTTGGGAACTATCCCTGTTCTGGGAGTAAGTTTCTTTTGTGTACATAATTGGAACTTTGGCTGACAAGAAATTTAAAGACTAGGGCAAGACAATAATTTAATTTTTGTTTGAGAAACTCTAGTAATTAATGTAGGCTTGCGAGAATTCAGCCCTGAACTTTGTTGATTATACTGTTTTAGTCGGGACATGAATTAGTTCACTGCACAATTCCTCCACGAATCTGCTTCAGGGTGTTATCCGTATCAAAAGAACTGTTTGCGTAAGTATATAATTGGAACTAGCAGTACTACAGGGCTAACAATGAGTGCAAGTATTTTTAAAAATATATTATTAATGCATCATTATCACATTGGGCACACAAAACAATATATACACAACTAAAGACAAGATGACCGGAGCTGAAAAATCGAACCTAATGATTGCCAACAGGCAAACAGCCCCCAAATCTTATGAATATTGGTTGGGGATTTTTATTGGTCATAGAAAACTAAGCTTAACCTCTCTTAAGAGCATTTGTACACGATGGTTCTGGTTCAAGGGAGGGTCGTTTTTGAGGGGTTGCTCATCATTTGTTATCTACATGACTTGAGTGTTGGATAAAGACAGTCATCGCCTGTATATTATTTCTTCAATTCAATAAAATCTTGAATTTTACTGCAACAACTCATAATATATAATTATACAGTCTCCCGTGTGACAATCAAGTCTTGTTCAAAACTGTGGCCTACAACCACAGGGCTTTACGTAATGGTTGGTAAGATTGCGCAACCCTTCATTGACCAACTGCTTGGGTTATCAGAGTGATTTTACTGCTTTCATCTATATGTCTTATGTTATCCTCTGATTTTATTTATTCATTTTTATTTACTTTTTCCTTTTGTCACCTGTTTATCTTTTCACTCTTAAGCGAAATCCCGCTTGCACTTTCACTTAATGCTCTTTAATCAAGCACCGTACCCTGAAAAAAATATACCAGTGCCCGATCTCCCTCTTCGGTAATAAAGTTGTTTTAGCGCCTTGGGATGTGAAAATTTATTCAATCAGTAGTCCATTGCCTAATTTAATCACTTCACATTTCTGAAGTGAACAACACTCCATTGCGATTTTGCATTGTCATGCTTATTTTTCTGCCAAAGTAATAATTTAAAGAACACAATCAAATCAGAGGAGGTACGAAAAAGTTTGGAACGGATATACACAACGCCCTCTTTTGTCATAATTTCAATAATTATTTGATGCTGTGAAGGGCTGTTTTCCAATACTCAACTTCGGCTCCGTCTAAGGCTTCAACTGTTTTTTTAACTAGCTAACGTTGAAGCTGTAAGCGCCGTAGTTAGTTTAATAGTGCCACAAAACATCGAATAAGATGCAAGAGAGTCAGAGATTACAGTAATTCAACTTAATTTAAACGATTCAGGCTCACAATCGGCGATTGGTTTTGGGAACGAAGCCACAAACGGAGCCCAAGTCGAGTATTGGAAAAGGGCCTGATTTCATTCATGTCATTAGGCCTGTACCCATTTCCCTGTACTGTCTTCTTATGCGTTTCAGGGCACAACAGGATCCGGGAACCAGTCCGAAAAAAAACACACAGACAAGCTAAGCTTTGGCGCACTACAGTTAGTGTTGTAGCTCCAGTAAAAAAATCAGTGCATTGCGATCGATTTGTAACAGTTTACAATTAAATGACGTCGTGATTCGCGCTTTAATAAAATTATGCCAAAGCACTTCAAGGTAGAAAGGCTTTCAACTGTTTTGCTGCAAGAGAATATGTCGTAAAGTAGTGTAACTAGACTGCGAGTGTGTTACATGAGCACGGTGAGAAATTATTATTACAGGTTGCCATGGTTACCAAGGTATCCCTGCTGTTTGTAGCCTTTGTTTAGATCTTACGGTACTTTATTACTTCACTGAGAGAACTAATGATCACAAAGAAGAACTATCCTTGGGAAAGATGTGCAGCATCCCGACACTGTAGACGTTGGCCTAATCCACTTCCATGGCCAGATTGAAGTTGATGGCCTTGGGCCTATAGTCTAGTTCAATAGTTGTGTAGCCTAGGCGGTCCACAATCCACATAGACTAGCCCTAGTACTATATTTTAGGCCTAGGCATGCTAGGCCTACTTTAGATTTTCGAAGTAGGCAAATATTTTTCAAGCCCCACTCCCAGTCCTCATTTTTATCTCGACATTTTAGCAATGACTAACCACCTTCACTGCATTTATAACCGATGGAGGCAGGATTTAATATTCTTTTCTCATTCTTAACATAGTTTTACTTAGCTTTTATTTATGCCCGTTTAATATTAAATGTAACTAACCTCAAAAAAGACAAAAATTGCTTAACTTGGTGACTTAAGAAATCGCTATGCGTGTGCCCATGCAATTTTTTTTTTGCTAAGCACAGCAATGTTGTTTTTTGCTAACCATTCATGAAGCACAACTGAATCAAATTTGCTCAACTGTAAGCAAAGTGAAATTGAGCCCTGGGGTTGTGCTCAAAATCAGAAATTTGGCAATTGCCAAATTTTCAACATAGGCGGAGTTTTCCTTGGAGATTGAATCGATGAGTGATTCCGATTTATATGCATCTTCATAAATGCCTCTGTTTAGATGTGAGCATCGGCCCAACAGTTGTTTCAACCCGCCATCTCTGATAATGGCCCGATACCCAGGAGGTGGACAGTTACCCCCCATCCACTGGGACGACAGGGACAGCCCAAGCCACCCCCGTCCCTTGGCCGGCAACAAACAGGTGTATTTTGGTAGTCACGGGTCGCCGCTGTTTGACGACAGCCCCCACAGCGCTATCGTGTCCAGGGCAGTGCTGCTGGAGCAGGACTTTGCCAACAATTTGTCCCAGGGTCAGGGCGGGTCAGTGTTGTGGCAGGAGAGAAACGCCCAAGCCGTCTTGCAAGACTACATTCACACCGTGACGATGGCCATCAAGAAGATCAGTAAAGAAATGGAGGTGAGTAAATCTGTATCAATCAAAACGTATGCAAATTTGAAAGGATGCAATGAAATGGGTTCTGAATAATGGAAAAGATTAAGACCCTGCACCATCCTTTCTTTTTTCATCTCCTGAAGCACAGTGATTTACCTCCTCAACCAAAAATGAAAAGGTTTGTGTGATATTTCTTCACCTTGTCACTGTTCTTTGTACAGGCTATCGAAGAACAACTCCGTAACAAAGAACGAGCAACTGAACTCACAACCAACTCCCTGAAAAACCTGGAACTACAGCACGTAGGCTCCATCTCTGATCTGAGACAGAGAGTGGGCAGGTAGGCTGTTCCTTCCAACCTCTTGAGGACATCTTGGAGAGGAATATTTCTGACTTAGATCAAATCCAACAAGAGAATCGTCTGGAGAAACGTTATCAGTGCACAGTTCAGATTGGCTCATTCACTCAACAAGCAACGAGCCATGTAGTTTGTGTATGAGTGTGGGACAATGGTGTCAAATTTGATAGGAATAAAGACTTCTTGTCTTGACTTTGGCAATTCTAGCATCACTTCTGAATGTGTTACTGAGTTGGCGATTTGACAGTGAGGTTTTTAAAGATCATGTGATGCATCGTGTGTTGTAATCATCAGGTTTTAAAAATTGACAGTGCATTACATATGATCTAGAAAATCGGTTGGAATTTTAAACTGGTTCTTTTTTTCAGAGTTCAAAAACAGATAAGTTGTAGGGTATGTCACGTAACTTTTCAGTGGTTTTTTTTTCGGAATCAGGTGCGATGTATCCATTGCCAAGCTGTCCGGAGATTCACGTAGGACATCAGAATCTTTGGCAGCCATCAACAAACAGGTGCAAGATCAAAGTATACAGCACGGGAAGACAGTTAGTGACTTAGAAATAAAGGTGAGAAATAGCTAAACAAATGAAGGCCAAGTGCAGGAACATTGCGAAGCCATAGGAAGATAATCCTCTGAGTTCCGAACTGATTTGGAACTTTTTTGGGTTGGGGGATTAGGAAGGAGAATGGGGTGAAATTTAATAATTGACTTTTGTTGCTACATCGTCATAATGCTAATAAATTTGTTGTTTACATAATTTAATAGAGCCTGACATATACTTATCTTCTAACGTCTTATCTTAACGTCTGGGCTATACTGTCTCAAGTCCTGCACAGATCTCTACAACCTACTGGTGAATTTTGGGCGTGTTTGTTTCACGCCGATCTTGATTTCGATCACTTAATCCAATGCCGATGCTCCATGCATTACGTGGGTTTGGGTGTCAGTGAACCAACGGCAGATCACTGATCTCGATCTAGATCCGTGTGAAACAAACAGGCATGTGGAAGGATCTACTCAGCAATGCGGACAAAGTTATTCACAAGTTATAAGCCAGATTGCAATGCACTCTCCATTGGCACACATTCCTTCCTCAGATTTCTAGACTTGAGACGCAGCTGGCCAAGAGCACCTCTGACCAGCACTCGCAAGTCGGCTCGATCGAGACCGAGTCCAAGCACCAGGTGACGCTCTTGGAGACCAAGACCATGAACCGGTTGGAGGAACTGCAGAGGACACTAGATACCCTGCAGATGAAGCGGGACTCGGACTGGCAGCTGATGGAGAGAAGTCTGACAACAACAGTGGAGTCTACAATTAGCAAGAGGGACAGAAAGCAGGTGAGTGTTGCATCAGAGAATCTTTGCCACTCCCCCCACAGCATTTGTTTGCTGGGAACTTGCCTAAATCCTCCAAAATCTCAAAGAGACTGATGCAAAATACTGCATATTGGCCAGGGTGGGATTTGTAGGGCTGTGTGGCCCAGTGGGTTATGGCTTGTATCTTGCAATTGTGGGGCTGCATTCAAATCTTATGCTTAGGTCCAGTTCTCTGGTTTCTGGGTCCAGTGCATTGAGAATACTACATCCACATTACTGAAATGTGCTGTATAAACACTTGTTATTCTTGCCGTGTGAAAACAAAAATGAAAGGTCTGAAAGGTTGAGTGTGTATCATTGCTACCTAGGCTGCTTGCTGTTCCAAGTAATGTAATATACTGAGTGAAACCACTTTGTTCTCCATGCTTTTGACTCAAAATGTCTGACAGTGACACAATTTATAGATGTGCTTAATGCTACCTTTTTACATAGTACTGAAGGTTACCAAACTTTTTAAGGACCTCCTTACACCCCAAATAAATGTAAATGGCATTATACTCTAGATTTTTAGGTAAACATGTTAGGAATAATCTCTCTGTGTTTTTCTGAATACTTCAGGAACTTTTTGAGCAGAAGATATTGAACCGTCTGGAAGACATGGAAAAGAAACTCATGCTGCAGGAGGGAACCATCCGCACCATGTCGGACGAGTTGCACGCCCTGCTGGGCGACAAAATCAAGAAACTTGAAGCGCGACTCCAGCAGCGGCAGGAGGCGCTGCAAGGGGAGGTGAAGCGAGACCTGGAGGAGATGGGGGAACAGAACGAGAGCGGATTCAAGCGGGTCAAGGACAGCATGGCCACCATGCGGATAGTGCTGGAGGGCAAGCAACAACTCCTGGCCGAGAACCTTCAGAAGCAGGTGGCCAACGTGAAGAAGCTAGTGGTACTCACGTAACAAAAGTGCCTGTCCTGACTGTCCTCATTGCCTTGTATCGGCTACTGCGCCTGGCACGGGGCGTTTTTTGGCGTCCCTCGGAAATCTGGTCTGGAAAGGAATTTCTACTGCCGAGAGAAAATGGGCATGGATGTGGCATAGCCTACCACAGGTTGGGTGCCACTTTGTGGTTGGTTGATTGACTGACCAATCACAAGCCCTTTATAATCTGGCCGCCATGCTAAAGTACCCCCCCTCATTGATGGCAAGGAGAGATGTACGGCCAACAATCAAATGCCATGTGCTTTGTGCCAGCACCTATGTGACAACACTATGGGTTTGCACAGTTCTGCATTGCCCTTTTAAGTATTTCATTGGGAACTTGTTATGTAACACTTTTGCCGACCTTAAATATAAAAATTGATTTCTTACTTGTAATCCCTGGAGCTACATTATGGCTAGTCAATGGTGGGGTATTTGTGGAATCGGTACAGGATTGTGGGTAACCTAAGGTGCAGCCAGTTTGTACTTTTGCTGTGCCTTTCAATTTCGGTTAATTTCAACCTTTTAACAAGTTGTTTTGGGCTGTTTTCTTTAAATTTTTTTTGTTACCCATGGTCAAGGTTTGGTTATAGCTTTGAAAGTAGAAAGTGGAAAACATCTACATATCAAGCTTTAATGTATTGTAGCGATTTTGCTGAAGTTTATTTGGTCGTGTTTTTGTGCCTGGTAAAAACGGTGTCCCCTCATCGGACCTCAATCAGAAAAACGTACAATTCACCAAGTGTATTTCCAAAGACACACAACAGCTCTTCTTGTGAGAGACAGTGAACAACTTATAAAAGATATCAGTTTAATAGTGTTATCCTCACCTTTTCCAAACAGTTCTGGTAATGTACCCACAACAAATCAGACTTTCACCAAAAACTTATATCTGATTGACCTGTTGACATTGTTTTCAGTGCTTATGTTGTGGCAATTTAACCTCAGACAGTTGCAGAACAGAGGGAAACTGAAAACATAAAGAACCCCAGGTTTAAATTATTAACTTTACTCTTTGTAACAACTCTGAGTGAACTCGTTTTCACTTAGCAAATGATATTTGAAGTTCTTTTCAACCTTACACCAAAGTTCTCGATAGGCAGTTGTTAAACTTTCTTATTACATGTACATGTGTAAAAAGTAAAATGTACCAGACTGCTTGTAGTTGGCATTGAACAGCTCGATGTCTTACATAACTGCGTCTTGTATATAATGTATATAATTTTCAATTATCCTCATGCATCTCTTTGTTAATAACTCATTACAAATAAGGATCAAGAGCTATGCATTTTTACATCTCTCAAAAAGATCTCTAAGTTATTGAACCTGTGCATAACTTACTTTCATAAAATTTTTAACAGGTTTCGGTTTTTGTCATTTTTAGTCAGAAACCATCTCATGAGACTGGTATTCCTGATTCATGGTATCTCAGTCATTTGCCTTATTGTTTAGTCCTCTGCTCATTTCAGTGGTGCCTAATCAACAAGAAGGAAATCACCTGTGATCATAT